AATAATTATCTGACTGATTTATTAATTTCTAACACCTTGTTTTTCCTGTAACAGCTGTAGCCTTATGTGTCCCGTGATCTGTGAGTAATTAGGAGCCACTCTTTACAATATTTATATTTCAGCACTTTTATTATTTATGACTAGTATGCAAACACAACACTGATATACTGGACTGCAGTGGATGTGAAACCCATGATTAGCTAAAGCTACAGATGGCATTCAGAAATGTTTCCAGAAGCTGATGAAGCTAAGACCCATCAGTCAGAGCTCTGTCACCACAGTCACTGATTACAACCATCCTGCCTGGATAAAACTAAACAACGCTGAGGATTAGAGGTGAAAAACCGAACCTGGTCCCCGGCACCAATGTCCTGCTGGTCCCAGCCTTCAAACACACAGTCTGATATCTCCACACACTGCGGCTCCAGAGCCAGCAGCACGTTACAGGTCTTATAGTCAAAGCCTGCAGATCACAGTCAGAGCAGAATCAGCAACAGTCACTTCATTTCCTCCAGGTATCAAACAGGAAACCCCACCACACGGCACCTTTAGAAGAGTCATCGTATCCGATTTTCTTCACGGTGTTTCGGACCACTGACTGGAGATCCACTATGGCCTTGGAGGTCACTTCTCCAATCAGTAAAATCATCCCCGTCTTCGTCACACATTCTGCAACAAGACGTTTCATAAACCAAGATGAATCAGACACTTGTGTTTTTTTTTCATGACCAAGTCGAAGCAGCTTCATAGAGAATAAATAAAAAATGGTGCTATTCAGTATTTGTTATATTAATGAGGTATTTTATTTATACTTGTATCAGTTCTTTGTTATTCTTCCTTATTCAGCTGATTTATTTTACATGGAGCATCAACATTTGCTTTATTTTGATTTGTTACATGTTCTTCATTGAGTTGCTGGAATATCCTGTCTTATGTCACCTCATGTTTTCTTTACCTTTTAGAAAACCTGCTGAAAAATGTGAATTACAAAGAAAAAGTTGTAATAAGAGCGGACAAGGAGGATTTCTATAGAAACCAGAATGACATTTACTGTTAAAGGTCGCGTTGGCGATTCCTTCCAGAAGTATTTTTTGTTAAATATCTTGAATTTCTCTTTTCATCCAGATGATAATTAATACAAAAACTGCACTGACAACATAAAGAAAAACATCCATCACATGTGGAAAACACCTGACCAATAATTTTACTCGTCCCAGGCAAAACCATTGGATGGCCCACCTGCCTGTAACCTACTTCCTACCTGGGCGCCCCCCATCCTTACATGAGCCAAGAGTCTCCCACGCGGTGTCACGGTTGCAGGCAGACGTGTGACTGCTGTTTTTATAGCTAAAGCTAGCTAGCAACGACAGCTTTGGTTCACAAACGAAGACTAATGTTACAGGCCAGGCCTTCCCCTTTCAGTCACATGTTCTTATGGGTAATGTTGGTGTTGTCACCAGAAGTTACGACCTGCAGTGTGAGAACGAGAAGACCAACACATGGAACAGACTGCTTCTTGTCTCGGTTCACTCCACGTTGCACACCTGCCACCGATTCCTTGATTAACACCAGCTGCATTCACTTAGTCCCTCACCCTACTTATACCCAGCTCACTTATCACTCCCTTGCCAGTTTATTGTTGCTCTCAGGCCGACAACCAGCACCATTCTCTTTGCCTTTGTGTATTTGTATATCCAGTTT